GGCACTCCTGGATGAAGCTGATTTTCTAGATCCGTTTCAATCGGGCTGCAGCCTGGAGTTTGGGACAGAGACTGCTTTGGTCAACCTGAATGACAACCTTTGCTGAGAGAGAGACCCTATTGATCCTCTTGGACCTCTCAGTGGCTTTCGACACCAATGACCATGGTGTCCTTCTGGGCAGGTTGGCTGGGTTGGGGGCACTGCTTAGCAGTGGTTCCACTGCTACCTGGCTGATCATGTCCAGAAGGTGGTGCTGGAGACAGTTGCTACTACAGGGCTCTTTTAATAATGTCTTTTTAGATGCCTTAATTTTATTGTATTTAGTGATTTTGTTTGCCTGTCTCACCTGCTCTATGTTAGTGATGCTATTAATTGCTCATTTTTAATGGTAGTTAAATGTTGGCTGCAATTTTATTCCTGTACACTGTCATTTGAGCTGTTTGGTGGTTTATACATGTAAAATAGTTAACTATAAAATAAAATAAAGTAGCTTTGAAAATCCTGTGTAGACAGGTGATGCCCTGTAATTGAATACAAAAAGAATGTAGTTGAATAGGAAACAGGATTTCTTCTGTTTTAGCTGTAGAAGATAAGCAGTAACCCCCTGCATCTGGCTTACATAGCTAACGATTTAAAGTGTTATGCGACTAGGTTCCTTTAAATGTTGGTAAATTTCAGAAGGACTAGGGTTAGGGTTAGGGTTAGGGGGATGAGTGATTGAGGTGACTGGTTGGTGACTGAAAGTGTATGGGCAGCACTTGGAAATGTGTGAGAAGAAAGAAATACAAACTAGTGGTCTGTCAGCAGCTAACACTCAAAGTTGTTAGTCAGCTGCCTGTAGAAACTGAAAAACCAGCCTTCTCATTAGAATGCCACAAATGCTGTGAAAAGCATTTTAAGATTCTAAAGAAGGAAGCAGAATACTATTAACAACTGAGGAGAGTCAAAACCTAATATTGCCAAATATTATAAGGGTAAAAGAGATAGAAGCTGACAGAAACCCGAGGATAGAACTGGTACTGAACCGGTGCCTGGCCGAGGTAATGGGCTGGGTGAGGGCCAATAAACTGAAACTCAATCCAGACAAGACGGAGGTCCTGTTGGTGGATGGTTCGAGCTCCTGGGTAGGTGACTTGGACCTTGTCCTGAATGGGGTTGCACTCCCTCTAAAGGACAGGGTCCGCAGCTTGGGAATGCTCCTCGATCCGGAGCTGTCCTTGGAAGCTCAGGTGACTGCGGTGGCAAGGAGCGCTTTCCTTCAGCTTCGGTTAATCCATCAGCTGCATCCCTACCTGGAGGACGATTGCCTAGCGACAGTGACACATGCATCAGTTACTTCCTGGCAGGATTTCTGTAACGTGCTCTACGTGGGGCTGCCCTTGAAGACAGTCCGGATACTTCAGATGGTGCAAAATAGAGCAGCCAGGTTGCTGACGGGGACTGGGTGTTACTCTCACATAACCCCAGTCCTCTACCAGCTTCACTGGCTTCCCATCAAAGTCCGGGCTCAATTCAAGGTGCTGGTTATCACCTATAAAGCCCCCAATGGCTTGGGACCTGGATACCTAAAGGAACACCTTCTTCCATATTTGCCCTCTTGCCCCCTGAGATCAGCAGCAGAGGCCCTCCTCCAGGAACCCTCCGTGAAAGACATTAGGAGGCAAAGTACCCGGAGGAGGGCTTTCTCTGCGGTGGCACCCCACCTATGGAATGCACTCCCCAGAGAGGTCCACCTGGCACTGTCGTTATTTGTTTTTCGGTGCCAGGCTAAGACCTTTTTATTTAAACAATATTTTAATAACTTTTAATATCATCTATAGGTTTTAATTTGCAGCCAGGGTGAATCTGGATTTTATTTGTATTATTTGTATTATGTTTATTTATATGTAAGCCGTCCCGAGGCTATGCGATGGGATGGCATACAAACATTCTAAATAAATAAATAGAAGGCAAATCTTAAATGGAGATGAATAAAATAAGGGCAGGTCTGAGTATATTCAAAATGGGATGTAGTGACGCAGTGGGTTAAACTGCTGAGCTGCTGGGCTGGTTGATCGAAAGGTCAACAGTTCAAATCTGCACACAGGGTGAGCTCCCGTGCTCTGTCCTGGCTCCTGTCAACCTTGCAGTTTGAAAGCATGCAAATGCAAGTAGATAAAAAGGTACCACTTCAGTGGGGAGGTAATAGCTTTCTGTGCACTTTGGTGTTTAGTCATGCCGGCCCCATGACCACGGAGACTGTCTATGGAGAAATGCTGGCTCCCTCGGCTAGGAAACGGAGATGAGCACCGCCCCCTATAGTCAGGCATGACTGGACTTTAATGTCAAGGAGAAACCTTTATCTTTACCTTTACCTTAAATATATTCAGGAGGGAAAGGAGGATTTGAGAGTAAGGGATGTTTGTGAAGGGAAAGAGAATACCTTGCCAGAAATTATTAATATACCCTATTTTATTTGCTAATGAAATAAGTTAAAGAACATCTTGAAACCAATATATTTCTTGTACAGATGAAGCAGTATTTAGTTTATTGTTAACTCAGCATCATAGGCTGTTTGAATATCAGTGTCTCATCCCCAGGACCACACAGTCCAACAAAGAAGCCTTATAGCCTGGGCATAATATGGTGGAAGAAGTTAATAAGATTGGAATTAATTTCTTGGTGGCAGCATGCATACACAGAGAAAGAGATGGAAATATCAAGAACTTAAAGACACACCACATCCAAACAAAATATAGGAGTGTACTTGTGACATTGTAATTTTTCATCATATGGAACTTGCACCAGCCCTGTGTGCAATAAGCAATTCCATAGAAGCAGCTGTGATCGTCTGTTACCAGGCCGATTATGAAAATTTTCCCTTAACCTAAACATTTATGTGTGGAATAGGATATTTCCCTAATGGAGTAAAACATGTTGGAAGCCATTTCAGCAGAAAGCTTTGTTAGGGGAGGAACAAGGCTCTGTGATCTGCACTTTGCCCACCCTTGACGTCCTGAGAGTTTGGATTGTGCAACACAATCCTATGGACACTAGGCAGACTCCAGGCAGTCATAGGATTTTTCTGGGTAATAGCTCTGACCTTGGAAACTTGTTCTGAGGTCAGCACTGGGACTTCAGACTTGGAATGCTCCCCCCCCCCCACACCCACACACCCTTGTAACTCATGCAAAAAGAACTGAAATGGTTGCAGCTCCAAAGTCAGAAGAATAACCTTGGAGACATCTGGGCATGGGAATGGGAGGAGATAAAGTATTCTGGAAGTACCTTGCACTCCTTCCCTAACATTCAGGATCAAACAGACCAGTGGTGGCGAACCTATTGCATGCTTGCTGCAGCAGGCACACAAAGCCTTCTCTGTTGGCACATGAGCCAAGTGGCTCCAGCATCTCCCCAGCAGCCGAGCATTGGATAACAGCCATGCACATGCTCGGAAAGGAGTGGTGGTGCCAGGTGATGATGTCACAAGCCGTGACTCATTAGCTGTGACTCATCTGAGCTTTCACATGGCTGGTCAGTCCGCTGCCAAGGAGAGAGAGAGGGAGAGGGAGAGGGAGAGGGAGATGCATGCTTGGACTGGCTGTGAGTTGTTTTTTCTAAACTGAAACCTCAGAATTCAGGTTTTATTGCAGAGTTGGCATTTTGCAATAAATAAGTGGGGTTTGGGTTGCAGTTTGGACACTCGCTCTCTAAAACGTTTGCCATCACTGACTTAGACTGTTGAAATTGCTTAAATGTTTTGCACAGCAAGAACAGTGCATAGGTGGCCTCGGGGTTGGCATGCATAGGAGGCCCATAACTCTCAGAGTTCAAAAGGTTATGGGCACCAGGCAGAATTGTTTCTTCAAAGATCTTGAAAAGTCTTGAGGGAATCTGACCATCCTTTTTAAAAATCAGGCAATATTTAAAAACAAATCCTATAAATGCTTTCTTGCATCTTTAAAAATGTTTCGTTTGAAAATTGATGTAGGGTTTCTCCTCCTTCCTTCTTCTCTAAAAAGCAGTAGAGAAGTCCTGGGTTTAATCCAACCAGGGAGCTTTTAGATTACAAATAGTATCTGTCAGGGTGTAGTAGTGTAGCATGCAGTCATTACCAATATGCCATTAGGAATTTTGGAAAAGAGAACAGGAAAATAGTTAACTATAAAATACAGTAGCCTTGAAAATCCCGTGTAGACAGATGATGCACTGTAATTGAATACAAAAAGAATGTAGTTGAATAGAAAACAGGATTTCTTCTATTTTAGCTGTAGAAGGTAAGCAGTAACCCCCTGCATCTGGCTTACATAACTGAAAGGGTATATTTCCCCCTTTGGAAAAGCAAGTGAAAGTCAGAAACAAAGGGTGCATGTGTTCAACACTTCAGATCTGATTCATTCTGCATTTTCATTCCAGTGCTGCGTTCAAGCATCTAGTTCATGTACTTTGGGAGAGGAGGTGGAAACTACAGGGGAGAGACCATAGGTTGTATCCTGCCCACCGCAGTCGCCTCACTTTCCCTCCCAGAATCCCCAATCCTGACTCCGATTTTGGGCTCCCAACCCAGGCAACTAGTAGAGTTCTTTCCATATCAAACGTGCAAGGCGGGAGGTGAAACACGCTTGGAGCTGTTTCCAATGTTGGAAATGGGAATCGAGTGGCCACACAATCGCTCTTTGCTACCCCAATCCTTTATGAATTTGCCTACTAGCTTCTTAAAACTGTCCAGTTTAGCTGATGTATCGCGGCCGCAAAATCCATTATTTAACCATATGTTCTCTGAAGAAGTACTTCCTTATTTGTCCCGAATCTCTTATTATTTTGGCCTTAGACTCCGAGCTCTAGAATTTCGGAAAGGGAAACTTCCCTGCTCAAAAACACCATCAGGAAACTGTCAGACCACACCGCTCCCTACAGGCCTAGAGGATCTGAAACGGGACTCGATGCGTCCGGCCCTGCAAGATGATGTCACTGAAGGGGCGTTGTCCTGCGGCTGTTGTGATGGTGACGTCGCCGCCGCTGCCATTTTGTCTTATGTGCGTTTGCGCGGCGAGGTTTGATGCTGCCTCAGCTAGTTGGGTAAGAAGCCAGGAAGAAAGAGGAAAGTAATGTCGGCTTTCTCGGAGTCGGCACTGGAGCGGAAGCTGTCGGAGCTGAGCAATTCTCAGCAGAGCGTGCAGACACTGAGCCTGTGGCTCATCCACCACCGAAAACACTCGCCACTCATCGTCACCGTCTGGGAGCGTGAACTGCGCAAAGGTGAGGGGAAGGCAAGGCAGGCCGGCCGGCCTGCCGGCCGACCGACCGACCGACCCAGGACGGGCCGACTTTCATCGGCTACGGCGGCGCTGCCACCTTCTAGGGTGAGGTTAGGATTCTTGCCTGAAAGGGAGCGAAACCAGGAAGCGCTCTTGGCGCCGTGGGTTCGGCGAATGCGTCGCCTCGAGCACTGTCGCCGCGGCCTACGTGGCAACGCGGAGCGCGCACTCCAGGAGGGAGCTGCGAAGATGTGAGCGATGGATGGACGGACCCACCCGTCGACCGACCGACACCGGCGCGCCAGCATTCTGTGGCTTTTCTTTCCGAGACGGCAGGGGAACACACACACACGGTTGTGAGGAGGGGGCAGAGAAGGTTGCTTCGGAACATGGGGCGGCGAAATACCTTAAAGGCTTTTGTGCCGCCCCCCCCCCCGCGCTTTGGTTTCAATCCTAATGGAGTAGCCCATCTGAATGTGCTATAGCGGAGTATATGCTTGCCATTTCTTGTGGCGTATGCTCTTATGCGTTGGTCCAGCCTTCCCTAATCTCGTATTCTCAGGAAGGGGTGGACTGCAAACCCCACTGTCCCTAGCCAACGTGCTGGTGTGATAGGAATTGTAGACCATCATTTAGAAGGTTACACGTTGTTCAAAACGACTAGTGTATTTCATCACCACAGTTGGAGCTTTCTTGGACTCTTAAGAGCTCATGTCTTGAGCGAACAAGTAGTATATGCTGCCGTGGTAGTACCTGGGAGAAAAGTTGCGTGTGAGCCAACAACAAACATACATATGATCTGGACCATGGGTCCTCTACAGCCCAGGGGCCGGATCCGGCCTGTCATGCCCATTTGGACCCACCGCGCCTGCTGCCACCCACCTTGCCCTGTGTGTGGGGAGGCAGCAATTAGCTTGCTCATAGAAAACGATCTCCTAGCGAGCAAGATGCTGCCTCGTGTGCCCGCCTCACAGAGTGTACCTGCCCATGCCCATGCCCCAGCTCACCTTGCCTCAGTGCGCGCCCCGCCCCTGTCTCATCACTCGTGCCCACACGCGCCGGCCCCACCCTCATGCACAGCCGGTGCCACCTTTCCAGCCCACGCCCAGCACCTTTCAGCTGGCCCCCTGATGGAAAAGTTTGAGTACCCCTGATCTGGACAGTGTAGTTTTACATTGAGGCAGAGCCCTTTATTATTTTCTCAGAAAATAGGACAGTTGATTTTAATAGGACTTACTCTACAGCCTTAATGCCCAGAAGTAGACTTGGAGGATTCACCCAATTGAAAGGGTTGTAGGATTGTTGTACAAGGGTTGTAGTGTGCAAAGGTGCAGTAAATTGACTGGTGGGTTCTGGATAAAACTGAATCCATTGTAGGTGATCTTAACTGATGTATATGAGTTAAATTTCCTATTGAGGATGGACTTCTTATGTCATTTCCATATAGTAAGGAGAGAATTGAGAATGTGTATAATTCAGTACATTCACAATGTAGGAAGTTGAAATAAAGAAAATAGTGATTTCTTTTACTATGTAATTAGTATAATTTTATTCAGCTGTGACTGTATAAGTATTGTGTGGAATGAAATGAACACTCATGTAGTAGCTTTTATAAATGCATGCAGCAATTCAGTTTATGCAACCTCTAATCTTATAAAACAGGGTGGGCAACTTGTGTGTTGTACACTAAACACCTTGAAGGTCACATCTGCCCCAGTGACAAGAGATGGTGGGAGCTGTAAGCCAAAACATTTAGTGGGCTACAGGGTTTCCACCTCTGCCTTATAGAAAGGTCATAAAAATTCTTGAGGTGGCATAAAGTGAATTGATTTGAACACTTCAGATAAGGCAATATAATCTTCCCATCTTGCAGATGGGGATGCTGAGAATAGTGACTTGCTAAAAGTCACCCAGTGAATTGAGTTCACAAATTTTGTCTGACCTTCATATCCAAGCCAACATTTTCCAGGATTCTGCCTCTTTCTGTTCCTATCAATCCTAGATACTGCTCCAAAGTGTCCTGTTATATTTAGTTCATAGGATTTAGCTTTGGTCCCTGATTTTTGTTGTACCTCTGAGAGGTTAGGAATAATTCCATACTTTGTTGTCTTGAAATTTGGACATTTGGAGAGTAATTTAGGTGGAGGGAGCTATTGTGCTGTCCTCTGAACACTTTGACCACCTGTTGGCCAAATGGCCAGCTTAAGTGTTCCTCTCAGAAACTGGAAGAGCTCATGCGAATAGCAAGCCATTTTGCCTTCTTTCTTTAGACTGGAGATAGGAATGTTTCCTGCTATTGCACTGAGCCCTTTGAAGCTTAGAACAACTGTAGTGGTGATTCCCAGCCCAGCTCCCAGCCTAGACAATCACTTTTGCCAATGGTCAATGGAACTTGTTGAGTTGAACGTAATTTTATGGATGGGATGAGATTAGATCTGGGGTGTTCTGGCTCACACCAAAAATGGTCTGTATTCCTCAAATGCTTATGCACTAATCCACTTTTTTTAGTGTTTGAAGTGTCACAAGACTGTTTTTTGCCATAATATGTGACACAAAAACATCTGCTTATCATACTTGGTTCCCAGGTGACTGGAAAAGGAAACTTCCCAGGGAGTTCAAGAGTAGTGAAAATACTACAAGGAGTCCCTGAAGAGTTTCTGTTGCCTGTAGTCCCTTGTGATGCTCAGAATTAGAAGCATAACTAGATCTTCCGGTTGTATATGAGTTCAATTTTATTCAAGCCAGTCACTTGAGCAATATGTGCTCTGGTTGTATGGGCTTCATTGTCAACATAGATCATGCAGTCAACCAGCAGTGAAGGTTATTTTGTATTCTCAGTCTTTTTTAAGGTTGAGACTGAAAAGAACTAGCAGGGATAACATCATTAAAGAACTATTAAAATTTAGTGGCAATTTCTGTGTTGAATTACTTAAAAATGAAACATAAGCGCAGCTGGTTAGAATGATCTCATAAAGGTAAATTGCTAAATTCAGTTAGGCTAATCAAGGACTTCACTGTTCTGATGCATTACTCCTCCCCCTTCCCTCCTCCCCCATATCAATGGAAAATGTGAATAGATCAAAATGGATCTTGACAGAAGAACCATAATATATTTGTTCTGAATTTTGTTCTAACAAAATTATTTTTTAAAACTATGGCTTTAAACATGGTTTACTCAGACATGAAAAATCTGTTTATTATAGCAGCAGAACTATGAATGTTAATGTTCTATTGTGCGATGGGCTCAATTAGAGCTATGCAGTAAAAGTAAATCAACATTATACTTTTTCTTAGTTATACAACTAATTACATAGTTATTCACAATGACCATTGTCTAGTTTTTTTATATTTTTTGGATTGTATCAGCGCACACTCACAACTAGAGTTAAGAGATTAAGTAGTGTAACTGCTTTTCTGGGAAACTTTGGCCAACATACAGCTTGATGCAGACAAAATTATAAGGAAAAGGTGAGGAAATTCAGAGAAAGGCTTTTGGGAGTCAGAGAAAGAAAGGTTTGGTTCTCATGGAAAGATGTATTGTCTGAGTACTTGAAAATGTTATTATGAAGGATGTGAATTAAATCACTCACCACTGCATTCTCTTCTTAGCAGAAATGGTCAGTGTGTATTTTTTCTCACTGACCAAGAACAATAGGCACAATCTATTAATAAACATTTTAAAAGTTAATTTTGCATCAGAGAGTTGTTTAACTTAGGGTTATGAAGGCACTATTCAAAACAGAGAAGCATTCTGGAATCTATAAAATAATTAAGTGTTATGCTTCTGCCAACGTAATGGATAAGCAGAGTCCAGGAGATTGTGTTGAGCACTGTTATTATTCTCCTTCTACTCTCTGTAGATTTTTTAAATTGAAGAACCATTATAAATATGTCTTCATATTCAGTAGGGTAGGTTGGCTATTCTCAAGTTGGTGTGTTCCAATTTTGAACTATAACTCCCAGAATTTCTTAACATTGGTCATTGCGGTTGGGGCTGATAAATGACTGGAAGATAACAGCTTGCTTACCCATCTTCAGGGATTAGATGTAGACATTTCTGTGTAAAATAACAGATATACAGGATGTTGAATTCAGTTACTCCCTCCCCCGATACTGAAAATGTATTTTAATCAATTTCCAAATTCATAAGGTACAAATATACAGTTTTGGGGAAATTGCATTGTTCTTGCTGTACCGCAAAACCCATTGCTTGCCATAAATATTAGAGACCACCGCTATGATACAATTATCCTGGCAGAGCCTTGGCCTCTTTTCCCCTGTAAGTGCTGCAGTTAGGCAAAATATGTAACTATTATTTTTTTTAAATCACAGCATGAATTTTACCTTCTTTTAGGAGGATACATTTTGCTTCTTTGCCCTAGAAATAATTGCATTTTAGGAATTAAGATGTTCAGTTTCAGTGAATTACAAGTATTGGACCAGGGAAAGTAGAAAACTGGGGAAGAGATGCAGAAAGCATCTGCTGGTGGTAAGAAAACCAGAATAGTTCTAAATAAAATCACTGCAATTAAATTATACCCATAGCAGGATTTATGTGAGGTAGATTGGGCTGAGAGTCTGTGACTGCCTCAAAGTCACCATGGTTGAGTAGGGATTAGAACCCAAATCTCAGTTCCTCTCCTTCTAACTGTTACACCAAGTGCTGACTTAGTTTTGAAACACTTTGTCTGGGCATCGAATCCTAACATAGGGAAACTCTAGAGCCTTTGATAGGTGGAGTCTTTTTCTCATTGTACTACCAAATTACATTCTGTGTTTCCTGTTGCTATGCTACAGTTTGCTTGTACCTGCCAGGGTTCATAGGAAGTATGACTTTATGTAACTAGATAACTTTAGTAGATGTAACTACTTTTGCTGAAAGGCAAATCTGAAATGTGATGCTGGACTTTTTGCCTTTTGGTTATTTTGTTCTGCAAAATGCTAACTCAACTCTTATGCTAATGAACATCTACCTGAAACTGCTGGGAGAGGTCCTTTGGAAGACATGTTATGCAGTGTAGTCAGTGTGCAGATGACATTCAACTCCCACTTTTCCATCATGCTTCAGATGGAGATTCTGATTTGGTATCAGTGATTGACTAGATGTGGGCAAATAAATAGCAGTTTAACCAAGAGAAGAAAATAGCAGTGCTCTTTGGTTAGGAGGGAAGCTTATTGAGGATGGGGATACAAACTGCACTGGCTAAATTCCTCTTGAATGTACGTTTGTGGTTGCATATTGATTTATGAATAAAACAAAAGTTTCTTATAAAATTAGTAAAAAAGCATCAAAACAATACATATACAATAACTTAAAATAATAAAATTGTGGTGTGATAATATCCAAGAGTAAGGCTAAAGGGAATCAGCTTAAAAACAGGGATATAAAAAAAAATTGGTGTAAGCCTATGCTTGTAGGAAAAGTCCTGCAACTTACACCATATCAAAGCCAATTCCGAGCGATTCTCTAAGTTTTAAGACTTCTTTCTGTCTAAACATGCATAGAATCATACCCTTAGCTACATTAAAAGTAGGGAATGAAAAGCCCTTAGCTGCATGTCTGGAAATTAAATAACGGAAAACCAGTATGGCCTCCAAGCAGCATCTGGAGGGCCATATGATCAGATTCGCACCCCCAATAGTTGCTGCAGAAAGAACTGTCAGCTGCTTTAATGAAGCTGAGAAGGGTTTTAGGAGATGTTCTATGGGAAGGGGAGGAGACTACCACCACCAAAATGTGATGTATACAATGCCCTTATGGCACCTTAGCTTCCTCCCCACCCCCTTCCCAAGCACTGCAGTTAGATATGTGAGATCAGTTGCCTCTGTATTTCTCCCACTCTGCATAGAATGCCTGTAATGCACTGAGTTCTGAAGGTTAGAGGGAGTCCCATTGGATTGTGCTTTTCATCTCTCTAGGGAGGGAATTCCACATTCTGAGTAGCACAGTGGAAGGTCCCTGTTTTGTGCCCCAATCAACTGCAGGGCCTCTAAATGTAGTACACAGTGGAAAAAGGCAAGATATCCAGGTCCCAGAACCATTTAGGGCTTTGTAGGTTAAAATCAGCTGTCTTTATTATGCCTGGAAATGAGTGCAAATGAAACACATCTGGCATAATATGATGGGTGAGACAGACCCTGAAAACCAGTCTCCATCAGATGAAGTTCAGAGCTTCAAGTTCAGCATTACATACAGTGCATTACAGTAATCTAGTCTGGATGTGTTCCATTATTGCAACCAGACACTGGCTTACAAATGTACTGCTTCCTCAGCAGCAAATGAAAAGGAGAGTTTGGTATCACCTGTGTACTGATGACATCAAACCTCAATTATCTTTTCCAGTGGGTAGTTAAATAGGATAGATGATAGAACCATGAGGGACACATCAGCCAATGAACAAGTGGTCAAGACATTTATTTGATTTCTTTTTCAATGATATTTAGGTACTGTTAGAAAATTGCAGTTCAAGCAGATCTTTGGCCTTTCTGGCAAATGATATGTTCACCTTTAATGCTTTTTATTTACAGCATTCTTTTGTTGTTGGTTTACAATTGCTTTAAACTCCTGATGTACACTGACTTGAGTGTGTTAGAATTAAAGCAAAAGGGTGGGATATAAATATTGTAATAAAGGAAACTTCTATTTAGAAGTGATAGGCTTTTTAGCACAAATGCCAGTGTAGCTTGTTTCAGATACCAGACCACTCAAGCAAGCATTTTTAAGGCACTGCATATATGTAACTATAAGAACAGAGTGTAGAGAGAGTGATGTCTGTGGTGTAAAGCACATAGCTAGCATATTGAACTAAAATTGATGTTGAGATAACAGGGCTTAAATAGTTGTTTACATATAAAACTTAAAAGTTTGCTTTCCAGAAATTGCTACTTCATACAGCAATATGAATTCAAAAAAGTGAGAAAAATGCAAATTGCTAGTTAGATTCTTAACACATCTCCTTTTTTTTTAAAGCAAAACCAAACAGAAAGCTGACATTTTTGTATCTTGCCAATGATGTTATTCAAAACAGCAAAAGAAAAGGACCAGAATTTACGAAAGACTTTGCACCTGTCATAGTAGAAGCATTTAAGCATGTTTCCAGGTAAAGTAAAACTTGTTTTTCAATGTATCTCAGGAAAACTCTGAACTGATGCTTATTTTCTGGCCTACATTAATGGAAGCTTGATTTGACATGTGTATTTGACATAGGTTAAGTGCACAGAAGGAAAAGGGGTTTTTTACATGTATTTAATATGTGAAAAGTTTTTCAAATAGTCAAATGTTTGTTTATTATTAAAGTTTACACACACACACACACACACACACACTTCTCCCAGTGCATTGTTCTCAGAATGGTTTACAAACTTATTGAACTAGCATATTTGAGGTAGGATTAAAAAGTCAAAATTGGGTTTAATTTTTATATCAATAACATTTGAAAGATTACTTGAATATTACTTTTATTGGCATACTTTCAAAAATTTAAGACATGGCAATAAAAATGATTTAGCATATCTGCAAAGCTGTATCCATACATTCGTGTTTCCTAGGAGTAGTAACCTGAAAAACAGGGTGCAGCCCTGTCAAGTGTGCATTCAGTTATTGGAAGCCACTGATCATCCAGTGCAGGATGGGAGGAGGGGTGGGGGTTGTCTTTGCTTCTTTCTCTGCCAACCCTGCAAGTTTTGCTAGACAGGTGTTGAAGTTTGTCTAATAAGAGCTTTTGGAGGGGTGGGAAGGAGGCTGGAAGAGGCACAGGATAATTCAGATTCTAGCCTTGCCTGTATGCTCCCCCCACCCCCGGAAAGATCCCCTTTCCCTGCTGTCCAACTTGATTTTTTCTGACTTTGAAGTGGCAGCCAACACAGCGCCAGCTCTGAGGGAGAGGGTGTCATGTTGCTAAATCCTGCTTTCAAGGTCAGAGTGCTCTTTCTGACCTTGGAGGCAGTTTATGAGCAATGCTATGGACCCTGGAACCATAGGATTGCTCTCTTAGTTGATTCTACATTTGACTGGTATTGTATCATAACAGTTGTCCAGTTATTTGTGTGTTATGACTTAATTATGTTAGTACATATATTAATGGGGAACTTCAGAAGTATGTTTGGAATATTTTTACTTGACACCAATGATGTCTCTTCTTAATGTATTAGACTATTGAGGAAAGGGTTGAGGGTTAAGTTAAATTGAGGGTTGTGACTCACAATTGATTCCCTGTCAGGAAAGTGCCCATTATGATTATCCCTTTCCCTTCCTTTTGTGGGAGGGGTATGTGAAGTGTTTCTGAGAAAACCTTGGAAGTACAGTGGTACTTGGCTCACGAAATTAATCCATTCCAGGACTCTGGTCGTGATCCAAATTGGTCGTGAGCCAAGTTAAATTTTCCCATAAGGTTCAATGTAAAAAAGGTTAATCCATTCTGTAACTATTTTTTTTTTTTAATCAGAAAAATGAAGCAAAGTGACAAAGAACAACAAAGATTGCAGCCATCTCCCCTGCCACCTCAAGCATGAGGGCAGCCATCTCCCTGCCCCCCAAGCATGACCACAATTGCACCTGGCATTCCGGCACACTTGGGTGGGGGGAGACAGGCGCGAATGTGCTGGGGGTGGTGGAGATGGCCGAGATCACAGACGCTCGTGTAGGAAAGACAGGCGCAATCTCGGCCATCTCCCCACTCGGGGGGTGGAGAGATGGCCGTGATTGCGGTCACCACCCAATGTGGAGTTTGCAACCTGAGTCAAAATGTTTATGCAATTTTTGTGCGCGACCCAATTTGGTTGTGAACTGAAGGGTTTGTGAGCCAAGGTACCACTGTATTATGACAATCATCTTTCTCTATACATTTTGATGAGAATAAAATCCCACCCACCCCAAATCATTGGTTTGTTATGCTTTACAGCAAGCTTCCCCACTTGGTGTCTTTCAGCTATTTGAACAAGCTCCCTATCAGCTATAGCCAGCATGACCAACAGCATCTTTTGTGAATTAAGTTCAAGGAGGCTGTTTTGCAGGTTTTAATACAGCAATCTTTTCAGTAATTAAAGCAGGACTGTTGTTTCTGGGTGAACTGGGAGAAGTGATTTATTTGCCTGTTTCTTGATGAAAATGCAGATAACAGTTTATTGAAACATGAGATATAATTTCACACAGGCTTCTGTTTTGAGTTATAGCTCCTGTTCACTTTGATTATCATTTGTATTAATGATAATCTTGCTTTTACTTCCTACAACAGTGAAACTGATGAGAGTTGTAAGAAGCACCTTGGCCGAGTGCTATCTATTTGGGAAGAACGGTCTGTTTATGAAAATGATGTACTGGAACAACTTAGGCATGCTTTATGTAAGTTTACTTATTTTCTAACCCACCCAATTAGACATACTGCTTCCTGGGTGGGATAAAGCAACAAATTTCATCTTGTGCATATTTCATTTTTGTAATACACAATCCTTCCCAAATCATTTTGGATCCTAAATCTCTCTGATTTTTAGATGGTGAGAAAAACCCAAGAAAACGCACATATGAACAGATAAAGGTTGAAGACAACTGCTCAGCTCAAAGCTCTCCGTGTGATCCCCCACAGGTAGAAAGTTTGTAAAATACTTACTGTGTTGGAGTCTTGCTTCCAGATGTTCATTGATACTTAGTATTACACTATATACAGTATATCACAGAAGTGATTACACCCCTCACATTTTGTAAATATTTTACTATATCTTTTCACGTGACAACACTGAAGAAATGACACTTTGCTACAATATAAAGTAGTGAGTATAGAGCTTGTATAACAGTGTAAATTTGCTGTCCCCTCAACATAACACACAGCCATTAACGTCTAAACCACTGGCAACAAAAGTGAGTACACCCCTAAGTGAAACTGTCCAAATTGGGCCCAAAGTGTCAATATTTTGTGTGACCACCATTATTTTCCAGCACTGCCTTAACCCTCTTGGGCATGGAGTTCACCAGAGCTTCACAGGTTGCCACTGGAGTCCTCTTCCACTCCTCCATGACGACATCACGGGGCTGGTGGATGTTAGAGACCTTGCACTCCTCCACCTTCCATTTCAAGATGCCCCACAGATGCTCAATAGGGTTTAGGTCTGGAGACATGCTTGGCCAGTCCATCACCTTTACCCTCAGCTTCTTCAGCAAGGCAGTGGTCGTCTTGGAGGTGTGTTTGGGGTCGTTATCATGCTGGAATACTGCCCTGAGACCCAATCTCCGAAGGGAGGGGATCATGCTCTGCTTCAGTATGTCACAGTACATGCTGGCATTCATGGTTCCCTCAATGAACTGTAGCTCCCCAGTGCCGGCAGCACTCATGCAGCCCCAGACCATGACACTCCCACCACCATGCTTGACTGTAGGCAAGACACACTTGTCTTTGTACTCCTCACCTGGTTGTCACCACACATGCTTGACACCATCTGAATCAAATAAGTTTATCTTGGTCTCATCAGACCATAGGGCATCGTTCCACTAATCTGTGTCCTTAATCTGCTTGTCTTCAGCAAACTGTTTGCGGGCTTTCTTATGCATCTTTAGAAGAGACTTCCTTTTGGGACGACAGCCCTGCAAACCAATTTGATGCAGTGTGTGGTGTATGGTCTGAGCACTGACAGGCTGACCCACCACCCCTTCAACCTCTGCAGCAATGCTGGCAGCACTCATATGTCTATTTCCCAAAGCCAACCTCTGGATATGACGCTAAGCGCATGCACTCAACTTCTTTGGTCTACCATGGCGAGGCCTGTTCTGAGTGGAACCTGTCCTGTTAAACTGCTGTATGGTTTTGGCCACCGTGCTGCAGTTTAGTATCAGCGTCTTGGCAATCTTCTTATAGCCTAGGCCATCTTTATGTAGAGCAACAATTCTTTTTTTCAGATCCTCAGAGAGTTCTTTGCCATGAGGTGCCATGTTGAACTTCCAGTGACCAATATGAGAGTGAGAGCAGTAACACCAAATTTAAGACACCTGCTCCCCATTCACACCTGAGACCTTGTAACACTTAATGAGTCACATGACACTGGGGAGGGAAAATGGCTAACAATGCCCAATTTGAACAGTTTCACTTAGGGGTGTACTCACTTTTGTTGCCAGCAGTTTACACATTAATGGCCAAGCATGTCTCCAGACCTAAACCCTATCAAGCATCTGTGGGGCATCCTGAAATGGAAGGTGGAGGAGCGCAAGGTCTCTAACATCCACCAGCCCCATGATGTCGTCATGGAGGAGTGGAAGAGGACTCCAGTGGCAACCTGTGAAGCTCTGGTGAACTCCGTGCTCAAGAGGATTAAGGCAGTGCTGGAAAATAATGGTGGTCACACAAAATATTGACACTTTGGGCCCAATTTGGACAGTTTCATTTAGGGGTGTACTCACTTTTGTTGCCAGTGGTTTAGACATTAATGGCTGTGTGTTGAGTTATTTTGAGGGGACAGCAAATTTACACTGTTATACAAGCTGTATACTCACTACTTTGCATTGTAGCAAAGTGTCATTTCTTCAGTGTTGTCACGTGAAAAGATATAAAGATTTACAAAATGTGAGGGGTGTACTCACTTCTGTGATACACTGTATGTTGAATTTTTTTCTTCAAGGGCTGATATGTATGTGCAATATCCCACTGTGCTGAGATTCTGAATGCAGATGGTCAGTAGTAATTTCTTTGTGGTGATGACTTTTTTGGTCATCAAACCTTTCTGAAGAATTTTTCCCCCCCACGGAACCCTAACTCTATCCCTGATTTTTACTAAGCATTGTGAACCTACAATGTTCTTCCTTCTTTCATCTGCTCCTGCTGCCTGAGTGCTTTGTATAACATAGTAGGTTTGGAAATAAAGAGAAAACATTTTAAATATAATGAATGAATAAAGTAAGTATATGCTAATATCCCAAATGAATCTTTTTGATTATTCCCAACACTACACAATAGAGCCCTAGCAACCAAATGATGGGATGCATTTCCTTGTTTGTTGTTTGGATACCAACTGATAATAGACTAGTTGGCCTCGTGTGGTTTCATTTTAAAATCAGTTTTAAATTTGATTTTTGAAATTTTTTGCAGAACCCCTACTTGGCTTTTGTGAACCCTAGGGTTCCATGGAACACATTTTGGGAACCACTGCAGTAGATGATACTAGTTCAGTCTACATGTATCGTTGGGTACCTGTTCCTAACTTTATTATATACGAGGGGCATTCAATGTATTCTCGGTATCAGCATGAAGAAAAAGGAATAATAAATTAAAATAATTCTTATTTTTCAATGTAATCCCCCATAACTTCAACACACTTATTACATCTAGAAATTAACTTTTCAATTCCCTGTAAAAAATACCCTTCCTCCTTGTCTAAAAAATGTGCGTTACTTGCCGCCTTGAGCCCTTCATCGTCAGAAAATCGCTTGCCACTTTTTTTTTTTTTTTTTAATTCAGGAATAGGTAGTAGTCACTGGGGGCTAGGTCCGGGCTATAGGGTGGGTGGTTTATTTCTTTGAAACCACAGTCTCGCACAGCAGCCTTCGAAACACATGTCGTGTGAACGGGTGGGTTGTCGTGAAGATGCAACACACCTGCGGTCAGTTTTCCCCACCTTTTTTCTTTAATTGCTTCTTTAATTAACAGAGTGGTTGTGTAACATGCTGCATTTATGGTTTCACCTTTTTTCTTGTACTCGATCAATAAAATTCCCTTTGAGTCCCAAAACACTGTGGCCATGATTTTTCCGGCTGATGGAGTGACTTTGAATTTCTTTGGAGGGTGAGCACCTTTTTTTGCCACTGCATGGACTCCTGCTTACTTTGAGGGTCATAGTGATGAACCAAGTTTCATCTCCAGTAACAATCTGGTTGAAAATACTCGATGGATCTTCACCACAGAGCTCTAAAAACTCCCTACAGCACTCGACTCGCACTTGTTTCTGAGGCGCCATGAGCATTCACGGCACCCATCTTGCACAGACCTTTGAAAGGTTAAGATGGTCATGAAAAATAGCAAATATGGTACCAACGGATAGGTTTGTCATCTCTGCTAACATTTTGATTTTTATTTGGGCATCTTCCAATACAAGTTTCTCTTTTTTCACATTTTCTTTCGTAGTGGCAGTAACTGACCTGCCCGAGCGAGGGTCATCTTCATTGCTTTCTCTGCCCCTTTTAAATTCACTTGCCCACTTTTGAACAGTAGATAATGAAGGTGCAGTGTCCTGGTAAATGGCCACCATCTCTTCTTGAATGATTTTTTGACTTTTTCCTTGTTTTGTAAGGAACTTAATCACAGCGCAGTGCTCGATTTTCTTCAGCATTGTTGTGTCAGTCATCATGGTCGTCTTTCACTGAGGATTACTAGGGAACTAATGATCACACTTATTTGATATTTTGCATGTATACTCTCAGATTAGCTAATGAAATAATTAAATTACCCACATCAGTAGCAAATCAACCCAATACCAAGAATACATTGAATGACCCTCATATCTAAGCTTTTACAATATAAATGTATAGGTAAAGATGCATTTTACTTCTAGGTAAAAAGCAGGAGAAATAAAATGTGAAATTGTCACTGTAGCTTAAATATGAATATATTCAGTCGCTGGAATAAATTTAAGGAAATTAATAGCTGCTTTGGGCTGAAATTCTAAGCACAATTAAGGGAATGTTCAGCTGAAAATCAGGGATATTTAGTTTTTTTCAAGTCATTGACTGTGAATCCTCATGGCTAGTTAAAGTATAGCATTTTGATGTGCTTTCTTAATGATTGCCATGGACTAGATCTAGCATAAATAGATTTTCATGGAAGCAGAAGCCAACACAGTTGCTTTGTAGGAATTGGTTAATATTTTTGGCAATTAAATGTTAGGTCCTAAGTGAGATCACCATCATTAGATGTTCTGTTTATGAACATTGGAACATTGGAAGCCTACCTATAGCTAAAACAGAAGTGCATAGACACAAAAGAGGGGCATGAGCAGATTTAGGGGGACCTGAAGTTTACAGAAGTAATGCCGGGGGGAAACCTTTGAGGAACCCCTACAGAACTATAGATACAGGTATCTACCTAAGGACTCAGTGGCACAGAATGTTGAGAGGCTAGGTGGAATAAAACTGTCAGTGATGATGAAATGGAGTTGCTTGAATGGGAGGAGGGAGGGAGGGGCTCATAGATGTAGACAAGTGGTAGAGGGAACTGTAGTTGTCTAGATGGATTACTTCCTGACTTATACTAAGAAGCTATTATATTCTCTGGGTTGGAAGGGAGAGCAGTCTATGGAAATATGTGATGAAATGCAAGATGTTAATATAGCAGGGTTTAGGGACCAGATTATTCATCCCTGTGCCACCTTGAGGAAAGCAACAAAGAGAAGAGAAGAGATCCTGCTCTTTCTAGCCCAGATTTTATTAAGCCTTGACTTTTTTAAAAGCAGCTACCCATTAATACACATTCCAAAGAAAATATAGTTCATTTTCCATGTTGTAAGTTGGAGAGTGTTGTAGTTAGGAGGGAGTGGCTTGTATCATTTCTGCAGTATTATTTGCCTTAAATATTGCAGTTTAGTTGATAGTAAACACTGTAGGAACAATTCTGCAGTCTTGCTCAGAGGTATTAGATCCTTGTTACGTATTAGACTGAAGCTACAACATAAGAGTGCAACCACCACTTTGCAGTTATCCACTGTTTTTATTTACACATTGCAAGCTGAGCTGAGAGAAATATACAGGCAGTTCCCGAGTTACAAACAAATTGCACTTATGAACAAAGCCTGTTACTTAAAAAAAAATACTGGGAAAATTGTCATTACCATAGAGAGGAAGCAAAAGAGGAGGAGAGAAGGAAAGCCTCCACAGCATGTCTTGCTGCCCTGCCCATCTGAAGAGACAAATCTTTCCGGTATTTCCTTGCTGCAAAGAGGAGGCACTGATGAGTTTGAGTGAGGAAGGGGGTTTGAGATATTAATAGTTTCTTCACTTTCATGTCTATAGGTGATTCGACTTACATACAAATTCAACTGAAAGAAAAATGTCTATTTTCTCAAACAGAACTTGTTCACAACCTGGGGACTGCCTGTATAGCAACCCTACCGTGAACAGCACGCAACTGTTAAAACTTTATTGCTGGTTGGAGGACTCTCCTGAGTGAGAGAGTTGCACTTTTAAATGTTAAAAAGTATACAAGTTAGTTGCTCATACCCTTAATGGTGACTTCATTTTTCCCCACTCCCTTCAGATGACACACACACTTTTGTTAAAGATCCCATTTGGATCTGTCTAATTCTTAAAATCAGTACTCCTTTGTTGTCCTTTGTATCCTATATTGATACCTGGTTTTTACTTAAAGTAATGTACTTTTTTTCAGACCATGGATCTCATAAGAGCATTACAGGAATTAGAAAATGCAGCCACTGGGGATGCAGCAGTTCATCAGAGGATAGCTTCATTACCTGTAGAAGTCCAAGATGTGTCCTTGCTTGACAGAATAACAGGTAAGGGAAGTTATGCCATAACTGAAATGTTAGGACTTAACAAGTCATGAACCTACCTATATACTACAATATACATCATCTAAGGCTTTTCTCCAGGTGCCTTCACCAAGAAAGGCTGAGAACAAGGGAGAGGGCCATCTTGATGGTTTGTCCCAAATATGAAATGTACTCCGCAGTGAGGCCCACCGGGTACCAACATGGTTATCTTTTTAGCTCCAGGTTAAGACCTTTCTGTACTCTTAGGCACTTAGTAGCATGTGATAGGTTTTTAAGCAGGTTATGAGATGTTTGGATATGTATGCATATGTGTGTGACTGCTCTGTTTACAAGTTTGTAGCGAAACTGGTTTTTTTTCCTACATAATACTGTATTTTTAGTGTCTGTCATCTTTATGAATCACCCAGAGAGCTCTGGCTATTGGGCACTATAGAAATGTTTCATTTTAAATGAAATGAAGACTATAATGTATTGAATTATGAATATTTTTCTTTACTTTCCAGATAAAGAATCGGGGGAGCAGCTTTCCAAGATGGTAGATGATGCATGCATGTTGCTGGCAGATTACAATGGCAGGTTGGCAGCTGAAATAGATGACAGAAAGCAGCTAACTCGAATGTTATCAGACTTCCTGCGATGCCAAAAAGAAGTCCTCACAGAGAAAGAGCAGACATTGGAAGTGCGTGACTTTGTTATGGTAGTCTCATTCTCTAGCTTTTCTTTCTTAACTATGAAATGTTTAACTGTGTTTAAACTCTCTTTTTATAGGGCACAAGTTAGATCTCATTTCTTCATCTTTTTTTCCTTCTGACAGGGGAATAGAAAGGTCTCCCCCACTTTAACTATTACACACAGTCTAATGGTGAAGTATTATATATGTATGTATTATTATAGTGTCCCTGCCTGATCTGATATATAGGAGGATCATGGCAGTATTTTCAACATTTTATAACTGTCAAATGACTCCTTAGATAAGATATTGCACCTAATATTTATAAGCAACCTCTAGGTATATTTAGCAATTTGGAGGGGAGTGATAGACTTTCCATTTTACTTTTCTTGGAGTAAGTTTGCACAGGTAAGTCTTTGCTGAATTATTGTCTTAAATGAGATGCATGCTGTGAATCTAATACAGATGTCACAGGAAAACTGGCAGTGCATGCCTATACATATCTATTCAGTTTCATTGTGTTCAGTGGGGCTTTCTCTCAGGTAAGCGGGTATAGGATTACAGCGTAAGTTTCATAGCTCAGTGAAACAAGTTAATAAGAAACACTATTTTGTTTCCTTCCTCCAGAAGTGCATAACTATTCTAATGAATATTCCAGCAGACCAGGATGACAGCTTCAAGTGCTCCATCTGTGGTTTGGATACTGTGTTTGGTGAATTCTGTTTTCTGTATAGTGGGTAACCTCGGTCTTCTGGCTTGAAAAAAAATCAAATTATATTCTTGCTCTTGCCAGCAATAGTGTTTGCTGGAAAAAATGTCATAGAATGATAAAATATTGAGGGTTTCTGCTAATAGTGAATTTTAGCAATTATTTGTTCAAATAATGCTTTGTGCTTTTTTCTTCAGTCGAGAGGAATAATAATGTTCATAGAATACTAGAGTTGGACGGGGTCATGAAGGCCATGGGGTCCAGCCCCCTGTTGTTGCAGGACACCTATTTACACCATCCCACTCAGATGACTTTTCAGTTTCTTTTGGATATCTCTAGTGTGGGAGAGCCCATAACCTCAATGTTGATTCTAACAACTGTAAGTCATAGCTAAATTGACTTTTAACTTATTTACATTGCAATCCTGTATACATATAACTGGGAGTAAACCCCACTGAATTTGGTATGGGAGGGAGGGGCAGTCTGTGGGTTTAATATCATTTGAGGAGGTTCCCCATACAGACAATGGAATTTCCTGGAATACCTCAAGGAAAGGGACTTGGCAGCCAACCCATGCCCTCTGAGGTTGGAGATAACAGAATTTCCCTGCGTTTGGGAGGCTGGCATAGCACAGGAGAATCCTGTCATTCCCCCCCCCCCCCACAGCTCACATCTAGTCACAGATGAAGGATAACACTAGGGATGAGGGTGCACACAAAGCCAGGGAGAGATGCTAAGGAGAATTACTTTTCCTGTGCTGACCAAGTTATGTTTTTTGAACCGCTCACCATCCCCAGTGGAAGCAATGACAAACCTGCAAAAGAGGCACATAACTTAGTCAGTGTAGTGAGAAGCAGTGTCTTCCAGTGCTTGCTGAATCCCTTTCTCTGTGGCAGTGAGAAAGCAAAAATGAGCAGGACAGCAGTCAGTACTTCATTGGGTATGTCCACACCTATATATTAATCCAAACTGTGGAGGTTCCCCATCTAGATTCTCCACTGTAGGTAATTTAGTGCCCCTGCAGTAGATGTTACTTCTGAGTAAATGTTCATTGGACTGCACTATTAATAGTATAAAATTAATCCAAGGTACATAATAACTCTTCTTAAAACTTGTTGTGCCTTAAAATTGCAGAACTAATTCCATACATGGTTGCTCATAACAAAAGTGAACATTGTTAATTAAGGTACCTCTAACCTCCATGTGGGTAAGTAGTGTCTTATGGCTTTTGTGGCAGGACATCTTTAACATCTATCTAGCTTTTGTTTCAGGTGAGGAGCCTCGACCTTATCTTCTAATGGTGGCACCTTCCATTAGTAATGCATCCTGCTAAAAATAAAAATCCAAATCAAAATCCTGTTTTGTCTCCTGTTTTTGAAAATTGAAGAAATATGTCTGCAAATTGCTCCAGATACCTTTTTATCATACTTGCCATATGTTGCAAACACCATCTAAACAAAATGGAATACTTGAAGCAAACCACATTGCTGCCAATTTTATATTAATTCACTGAATTCATTTTTTTCTAGAAATCAACTTTGAATTTTTAATTTGTTTTCATTTAAGCAAGCCAGCTCTCAGGCATTTCTGACTGGCTGAACTTGTTCAGAATTAAAATGTCTTGGAAGAACAGTTATTGTGAGAAATAGGGTTTCCTTCATATGACCTGTTGAGTTGATAAGATTACCATATAACAGACTTGCCTCTGTTGAAAAGTGCTGTGCCACATTACTGATAGCATATCTCTTATAGCAGGGGTAGGGAACCTTTTTAACCCTCAGGGACAATCTGTTAACCCCATGCTGACTTTGAGCAAGGCCACTCCTGTTTCTCCTTTCACTTCTTCATTGCTCAGTGGGCCACTGTGAGAGATCACTCTTACCAGAGGTCTAAACTGATAGCTTGTAGAAGGCTTTTGAAGTTAGATCAAGGACCAAAGCTTTGTCTACCCTATCTTAATTGTCGTAAGAAAGCAAGTACAGCCCTGACTGTAGGTCCATCTTATTCTTATTACTAGTGGGCAAATTCACTTCTGGAATATTTCCAAGCAGGACATGAAGGTGACAAGCCTTCCAGATAGTTCTGAGCAGCTGATATTTATTCCTTTTGAGCATGGGTCCTCAAACTATGGCGCACTGGCTGGATGCAGCCCGCCATGCCCATTTATCCGGCCTGCCATAGAGGTTTTGAACTTCCCGTGCGCAAGGGGAGGTGCCGGCTTGCTCACAAGGAGATTGTTTTGGACTTGCTCTGAGAAAATTATCTTGTGCGCACTGACCCCTCCCTTGCTGCGCGTGTGTGTACACCTCCCCCCGTGGCCCGGCCCGGCCTGCGCCCTCTACCCACACCATCTTGGTGGCCCCATTGCTGGCACTTTTCAACTGGCCTCCTGTTGAAAAAGTTTGAGGACCCCTGCTTTTGAGTTTCAGCCATTGGATGGTATCAAAATGTAAATGAATTGATTCTGTTTAATGGTTGTTCTTACTAACCATTAATATATGTATCTTCCATGAATTTTTTAATCCCTTTTAAAGGCTATAATTATATCTTTGTGATAGTGAATTTATATATGATACAGCTACTGTACTGAAGCGAAGAAGGCTTGGGTCTTACAGAATCATAGAATAGTAGAGTTGGAAGGGGCCATGAAGGACATTGGGTCCAATCCCCTGCTGTTATAGGACACCACTTTACACCATCCCACTCAGTGCCTGGATGGAAGACCACCTCAAAATTTTATGAACACCATTTTGAGTCCCATACTAGAAGAAAGGCAGAACATACTGTTTAAAGAAGAAAAGATAGCAAGCTCCTTCCCTCACTTAGAATTATCACTTCATGTCACAGAATTAAGCCATTTTACAGCATATAAATTGACCTTCATTAACAGCACAAATTACCACTGATATTTCCAAGTTTGGCTCTTTTGTGGTGTATTTACTTGGGGATAATTAGGGTGGTCCAATTGATGCTAGTTTCATTTGGCATTGTTCCAGTTTATCCAGTTTGCCTGACTTGGATTGTGGCTTGGGTGAATAGCAAAGTGACATTTTCTTACATAACTTAAACCTTTGGAAAAGAAGTAAGGGAAAATCTGTGGCTCCTGGACTGCATCTGAGCAGTCATGGAATATTTTGAGTTCTCAGATCTGAATTTGGAGACAGTGAATTGTGACTTCCTTCCACTGCACAATTGCAGTTAGTGTGAAAAGAACCACACTGGCTGAGTTCTGGGAAGCCACCTTGGAGAGGGAAAAGTGGGAACATTCCTGTGGGTAAGGGAGGGGAGGAGATTGGAGAGTCTGGAATACTTCAGCCTCCTTCCCTTCCCCTCCAATACACTGTGACTAGATGGACAGAAAAGCCATTTACCAAAAATGCAGAATGTGGAACAGGGAGCAAAGAATCACCACTTGTCCTATCCTGTATAGGAGGGTTGTCAGCCTCTTAGTGAAGGAGATTAGGATAATCACTATAGGATTGCTCCTTTAATGTCTGTTAGCAGGGGCATGACCTGCATAATGCAACATCATTGAGGGAGAATTAAGATCTGTATTTTTAACCAGACTCTTAGGTTAGTGGAGGGTGGGCCAGATACTGTTACCACAATAGGGCACTTGGAATGTTTTCTATCTTGTGGCCCTTATTTATTGTGGAGAATTGCTTTGTTTGGCACAGTGTTCATGATCTGACTTGTTTACTTTGTTCCAAAGAACTTTAGAAGATGTATTTGAGAGAGATCTTTGAGTGGTTATTGCCCTACTATGCTCGTTGAGGCTTGGCTTTTGTCCCCTTGCAATTTTGGTCCCATATTGCAGTGTGGTAGCTTGATTCTTATGCAACTCATTGGAACCAGAACTTAGTTAAGAACTGATCTAATCCCTGTCTGCACATCTTCTGTTTGCCTATCCCTGTCTGTATTCAGTTTCTTGGTGTGACAGAATGTACCAGTATGGAGATAGCGATTTCTAATTTTTCCTAGCTCTACTAGCTCCACCCCTGCTTCCCACTGTCAAGGTAAAGTTGGGGTAACAGGGCTTTCCTGTATAAAACAGGCGGTTTTAGTTATACAGCTAGTTGTGTTTTAGGTTGAAGCCTGTTTACTTACTTGTATAGCACTAGTGGAATTATATGGGAACTGAGCCAAGTCCCATCTTTTATCTTCAGTCTTTTCCATGGATAAAACAATATTTTGGCTCACATTTCTCAGTCTCAGAGTGTCACAGAAACTTGCTTTGGGCTCATGCATTCTCCTTCAAGATCAGGAGATTGTAACTTTTCATTTTTGCTTTCACATCTGAGCATTACACTTAGATCATAAACTGATTCATACTAACTACAATTTATTGAAACAAACCAGTTTCATGCCAACTCCATTTAGAGAAGAACCACAGTTTGTCTCCATTCACCTGTAATATTAAACTGGGTTTAGTTGAAAGGGAAGTGAAAGCTGCTGAACTTAAAGCTATGGTGGGGGAACTAACAAGTCCAGTATATAGCCAGAATATTGGGAATTGGCGATCAGATGTAACAAATTGTATATTTCATGGAATCTGTCTCAGGGATCTCGGGAGGTGTAGAGCACACAAAAATTCATTGAGACCCTATTGCTTCAGAAGGTTTGGTGGGCAGTTTGAACTGCATGCCATTGTCTGCAAATGTAGTGCACTAAGTGGGAAAAATGAATGATGAAAGGATACTATTTGATTATAAAGTGAGGACATACACAATGTTTGGGTGGAGGCTAGATATGCTTCTGGGATCAATGTTAGGGGGAAAAACACCACTGCCCTTGGTGCTTGTGTTAGATTGCAGTCTTTATCTTTGATAAAATTCTTTGAGAACTTTGAGAATGAAGCCAGTCATTCTTTCTTAGACTACGTTAGGCTTACTTTCTTAGTACTGCAATCCTGAAAACTGGCATGTGTGCACATGTGCATGCACACATATACACTTAATATAAATTGATCATGTTTGGAAGTGAATTAAATCGTGAAACACGACTTGAATGATGGATATTTTCAGACAGTTATTTTTGTGTGACTTGGGATGCATTTCAGCAACATCTGCCCTCGCACATAAGCCTCCAGACATGCATAGCAGGTGGTGCAGCAGCAATGATCTTCAGCATCATTAGCTTCAGAGTTCTTCCTTCTTCCTCCTCCCCACCATGGGTTCTTTGCCTTCTCCAGCACTGACCTCTGACCTTGGTTTTTTTCCAACCAGGTTGCAAGAGGGGTGGGACAGGAGCTCCAAATAATCTTCTGACTTCCTAAACAATATTGGGAGGCCATAGGATTGCACCCTTAGGGAGCAATCCTGTGGCCTGTAAATGTACTATAGGATAGTGAGAATTCCTCCCCTCCCTCGGTTGGCAACAGTACTGAAAACTAAGCTGTGAGAGGAAGGGGATTTTCTGGTGGGCAGGAAGGGGAAGAGACCAGAGAAGACAGATAAGAGCTAGATGGATACAAAAAGACAAATCTAGTGAAAAATGCAACCACTGGAGAATGGGGAAGGAAGATAACCTTTGTCATTTCTCTTGTAGCTTCAGCTTCAGCATGGTAGATTGCTGGATGCACAGGAACTCGGAGTTCAGAGGGTTCTGCCTCGCAAGGGTGCATCCCATAGGAGTGTACCCTTAGTCCCTCTACTCCAGAATTTGTATTATTGTAGTCACTGTATTGTCATGGGCTATAGAAGTGAACTGGAGATTAAATTGCACTGCATATATATACTAGAGACAGGTAGTGGAATTTCTGAAACTGATAAAACAATTAGAACTTGCACACCTTTTCTTTGATAACAGTTATTAACCTAAAATATTCCATTTTACAGTGTATTTTGGTAGGAATATGCATAACTGAGTTCAGTATTCAGTGGACACAGAATTACTATAGTAATTACTCGAGCTCATTTAGTTTCTATGCCATCAAGCCACTGAATACTGTATGTGTCCTAATACCAAACACAGGAAACTGGAAATAGCGTTCTTCCTTGATAATTCTGAAGTTAGAATATGGACTTAACCTGATTTGCTGTAAAACCAGAATATAACCCCCTGTTTATGCTATAAGGAGTATTCTAATGATTTTCATGGCTGTAAAGTGTGGTCATTTCTCGTGTGTGTGCGTGCGTGCGCGCATTCACACAAACTTGGAACAAATCGCATCACTGAAACTATAAAACTTGGAAAAAAACCCCAATCCTATTGACCTTTTAAAATCTGATCACTTTTGTGACCAAAAAGGCTTTTTAAAAATGCCAACATTTTTGCAAAGTGGAATTCTGCACCAAATAGTACAAGATATACTTACTGTGTGCTTCCATAGAGTCACAGCACACACATAGCCCT